AAACTTGCACATGGTTATGGCCAAACAGGTTGTGGAGCTTATCAGGATGCCTGTTTGTGGGGCAATACTTCATCATGATGCTGCTTTTAACATTTGAATTTTTTGAAGGTTTCTCCTTTATCTTTTTTATCTCTACTATTTTAGGCAAATTTCATGGCAAGGATGCTATGTCGAATCTAATTTGAGGTTGTGCACTCTAGTAGCAATTGGGGATCCAACTTTCTTCTAAATTTTTTCTTATAGCAAGAATTAATTTTAAGGAACTTTGATATCTATCTTTATCAATTTTTTTTTGACTTTTTACTTTCTAAAGAGTACAGCTCGATTAAATATTAGCCATTAGAAATTGAGAATATTAATACATCTCAATATATATATTTTATATATATACTCCATAAAGTCATAAGACCATGTATAGGGCTAGTGCATCGGTGAAGGATGGTGATTTGATGATAAGAAAACTAGCAACTGAAGCATATATATATATATATATATATATATATATATATATATACATACATATATATACAATCATTCACTAGGCTTCAATTGGTAGCTTTCTTGTAAACAGATCACCATCCTTCACCTCCCTACACTAGGTAGGCATCACTAGTCCCATTCACGGTCTTACAACTTTGTGGAATATATATTTATATACTATAAGCTTATACACAATTATAGCAAAATAAAATGTGGGGAAATAAAAATACACTAACTAATAGAATGCCTTTTATTAAATAAAACTTCTCTCAATCATTATTCTAGTGATCGATAAAAAAAGATATTTATATTTTAAGGATATTTAATAAAACTTTCTTAGTAAAAATAGGTATTATACAGTTGAAGCAAGAGCTTGAATATTCGTATAACAATAATATTTAAATTTTTGGACTAACAAATAAAAATTACAAATCTTTTATTTAATATAGTTAACTCAATATTATACAAGTTACTATTACAAAATAATTAAAATAAAAAAATCTTAAATCGATTTTTTATTTAGTTTCTTTTTTTGTTTTTATATTTTTCCTAATTTGGTACACTGTACATGTGAAAAATTCATCTATAATATAAATTTTATTTTTATTTTATAATAAATAATATAAATAATAGTAATATAAATAACAAGTCCTTATAATATAAGTTAAATATCAATAATTGTTTTTATATACAATTCATTGAATTTGAAGACCATGAAGCAGTTATAGAGTCATACTATGAAACAGGTAAAACATAAAGTACGATATTACAATCGTTTTGAATTGATAAAAATGATGGTACTATACATCCTTCCACTCCACAATATGTATTAGTATGCCAAATACTTTGTACTTCATTATAGATTACCAAATTTCCATCTGATTGTAATATAATTTTACAAAGTAACCCTTTACCATTTGTTCTTGATGACCATTTTGCAATATTACCATAATAAAGTACTAAATTACAATCATTTTGCATTATAAGCTTGTAAATAGTATTTGGTGAATATAAAGATTGTCTTATATCTTTTGATGAATGAGAGTTATGTGGAAACCAACTAAATAAAGTAGTTTGACTTATTGAACCACAAAAGATATCTTCTCCATCTATGTTATTGTTTGAGGTTTTTATTATATAGTTTTTAAGATTTTTTAATTCATCTCTTCTGTTTTGAACTGTATACTCTAACGAGTAACCAACCGAACTTGATTTAAAATAGCCTGCACAAGCTGTTAATAATACACTCATAGAATTTGCCAAAAGTCTTTGAAAACCAAGTCTTGCAGATCCTCCAGATACAGTATTTAAAACTACAGGATTTCCTCCACACAAATTTCCTTGATTATGATTGTGAATATGAAAAACAACCAAAACTCTTTGATTATTTGGAATAGGAAAGATAGCACTGCATGGGAGACCACGTGAGTATCTTTCTGATAAAGCAAATACTACTGGAATAATTTCTTGAATCCTAGATATTATGAATTGAGCAGTGACAACTGTTAATGTTGATTCATCACTAGCTTCATATCCAAAAATGCTTAAACAAAATTCAAGATATAATGCAAAAAATAATAAGTATATCCAAAATTTCATTTCTTGATTGCAATTTTAGAATTTATTTCTACTTCTCTAGCTTTCATATAGTTTATAAAGTCAACCAATCATTTTTCTTACAGTTGGATAGATAGAGATTTAATATAATATCAGTATTTAATTAGATAAATCATTATAATGTTTGACTTTTGATATGATAATTTGAAATGTACTTTGTAAACGATTTTTTAAAACTTGTGATTCTTGGTTCTTGTAAAACTTGTGCTACTTGGTAGTACGTGTCACGCCTAGCTCAGTCAATAGATGAGTTGACTTCGATTGTATTTAAAGCTTCGTAAAATGCAGTAGAAATCTGTCCGTCTAAAGTTGTTTTTGGTGCTAGATTTGCGCATGAAGTAAATTATAATAGACTAAAGTTGTTCAACTTCATAGGTGGTTATCCAACTTTTTACTATGTCACATTCTCGTACATAAAATCGCAACAAAGAGGCCTAGACTTGTACAGCACAAATCGCAAACTGGATCAAGGTGAGCTTGCTCCAAGAACAAAGGTTGAAGAAAACTCCATGCTGTCGTCCAGGTCAGCGCCACGCTAGCCCTAGATGCTGCCGCGTGTATGCGTTGTGTCGCTCTCGAGGAGCCAGAGAATGCGATCGCGCGCGTTGTTCTTCACTGCCGGAGCTCCGGAGGTGAGCCAACGCTCGCGCGTCTCTCCGATGATCCTCGCCACCGGTGGAGCTGCTACCTGGGCAATCAGGCCTATGGCCGGTGTGACCGCCCCAATCGATCCTGGGGCGCGTTTGCGGCCATGGAGCAGCGCAATCTCTTCTCCTGGACGATTGCAATGGCGGCGCTGTCCCAGAATGGGGAGATCCATTGCGCCAAGGCGGTGTTTGATCTCATGCCAATGAGGGATCTCTACGCCTGGAACGTGATGCTCTCTGCTATCCACGAGAACGATTCGCTGGATGCCCTGGTGGATGCTTTCACGAGAATGCCGGAGAGAGATCCAGTCTCGTGGAACGTAATGGTTGCAGCATTTGCCCAGAACGGGCAAATGCTCCAAGCCATGGACTTGTTCTTGCGGATGCCTCGCAGGAATGTGATCTCCTGGACAACTATGATTGGAGCTTTGAGCGATTGCGAGGCCGGACGCCACGATCTAAAACTCGATGCAATCGTGTTCTTCGATCGAATGCCGCAGAGGAACATTGTGTCTTGGACAGCCATGGTCCATGCCAGCGCCTCGGCGGATCGGCTGGAAGAGGCGAGAATTCTCTTCGATTCAATGCCTGCGCGCAATCTCGTTTCTTGGAACGTCTTTCTGGCTGGATCGAAGGACCTCTCGATCGAGACGCTCGAGAAGATCCCGGCCAAGGACTCTGTGACGCTCAAGACGATCATGAATTGGTACTGCCAGACTGGAAGAACCGCCGACGCTAAAGCCCTCTTCGATCGATTGCCCGAGAGGGATGTCATGTCATGGACGTGTATGATCCAAGCGAATTCTTGTCAGCTCGATCGAGCCAAGTTTGCCTTCGATCTAATGCCGGCATGGAGCGTGGTCTCCATGAATTCCATGGCGGCGGTGTTTGTGAGCCATGGAGAACTTGCTAAAGCAAAAAAGCACTTTGATGTTGGACTGGAGAGGAACGTCGTGAGCTGGACCGCGATGATCCAGGCGTTCGATCGAGCCGGAGAGGTGGAAGCAGCGCAGAGAGCTTTCGATCTAATGCCCTCCTGGGACGAGATCTGCTGGCTGGCGATCCTGGCCGCGAATTCCTCGGATCCGGAAGCGGTCCAGCGCCTGTTCTTCCGTGCGCCGGCTAGATCCGTCCTGGCATGGAACGCTCTCCTCTCAGCCATCGCACACAGCGGCGGAGCACCGATCGAGGAAACAAAGAGGGTCTTCGATCTGATGCCGGAGCACGACGCCGGATCGTGGAATGTCTTGATCGCGATCGAGGCAGAGGAGATCGGATCCAGCAAAGTTTTCTCCCACTCTTCTCCTGAGAGAAACGCTCTCTCCTGGGAAGCGCTCTTGCAAGGTACGGCAAAGTACGGGGACCTCTACGGCACAATGTCCGTACTGGAAAAGATGCCGGCGTGGAGCCTCCTCTCGTGGAATCTAGCTCTTGCAGCAAATGCCCGCTCCGGGCATTTGGCTAGCCTACGGAGAATATTCTCTACAATGCCGGAACGAGACACGGTATCTTTTGGCACCGCGCTCGCGGCATTTGCCCACAGCGGGCACGGCACCGACGGCATCCTCCTCTTCCACATCATGCTCCTCGAGGGTATGGCGCCCAGCGATATTTGCTTCGTCCACCTCTTGGTAGCCTGCAACCACGTCGGCCTCCTTCACGAGGGATTGTGTGTGTTCTCGGGCATGGCCGGCGATCACGGGGTGGCACCCGGGCTCGAGCACTTTTGCTGCGTGGTGGACATCATGGGAAAGGCCGGGAGGCTGGAATATGCCCGCTGCCTGCTGGAGAATATGCCGTTCGTACCCGATGACGTGGCGTGGGGGAGCTTGTACGGCGCGTGTGTCGTTCACGGTGACGTGGAGGGTGCCAGGGCACCATCGAACTGGTGACGTGGATGCTGACGTGTTTGTTACAAGTCAGCATTATTGTGCCAGGTCAGCATTCGCTGCGAGGTTGGACTCCAACTCAGCAGTGGCGTGGAGGCCGGCATTCAACGCGGTCAGCTTTGACTCTAATCAAATCGAAGAGATCATGTTGTGATGTTTCCCATGACGCCGCCGCTACACACTTGATTTAAATTTCTTTCTCTTGATAGCCTACAATCCTTTCACGTGTAGGATTTTTTCCATGTATTTCATTTGATACCCCGGCGCGCGGCGATGGATGGATCACACAAGTCAATCAGTGGGCAATAGAAAATCCGGGGCATGTTAGCGTTAGCTGTTGCTTTGGCTTGTTCCATCCCCACGTGGATATTCCCTCCCGGCCATCTCCCGCCGTTGGATGGGATCCCGCCACCGTTGGATCTAGGGCTCTTGGTGGTGCACGGTCTTTGAGAATGGAGGGGCAAACCACGCGTATTCATTCTCTCATTCATTCGTCGCAGAGGAAAGATGGGAAAACGGAACGATTGCCGGCTCGAATCCTGTGAAAATTCCCCACTTTTTTGCCTGGCTTTCCCTTTTTTTGCTTTTTTTTTCTATCGCTCTGTTCTTGGCTACTCACGACACGGATCGCGACCCCTAAATTCAGTTGAGTCAGAGAGGCGAAAGAGGTGCTCCATCAATGTGGGCTTCCGTGCTTCCAATCCAAAAATCTCCTCCATTTCCTCTTCCAATTTTCCAATTTCAATCTCTCTCTCGTTTTCGCGTACTTTGGAGCGATGATTGATGGGGCACAGCGAGCAGAGAAGTCCCTGTCGGAGATTGATTGAGAGGTTTGACTGATTCGGGAGGGAAGATTTGGAAAAATTCCCATTCCTTCCACGAATCGATCGAGAATGGGTGCTTTGGGGGTGGGAGGAGCGATGCATTCGATCTTCTCCAGCTGCACCGGGAGTGTTTGCGTGACCGTGGACGATCGCCAGGAGCGTGCGTTATCGAATCGCCATCAGTCTAGGAGCAGTGGCGTGGGATGTCCTTCGTCGCGATCGGGCAATGTGGTTCTCGTGGCGATGGATGCGCTGAGCGGCGATGGCGGCGCCGTCGTGCTCCAGGAGCACGCGCTGCGATGGGCGGCGAGGAATGTGGTTCGATCGGGCGATTGGCTCTACGTCGTGGCTATCTATCGCCGGGATCAGGGATTTGGGCGCAAGCTCTGGCATTGCGATGATTCTCGCAGTGGCGACGGGGAATTCGTGGGCTGCCGCCATCGCCCTCGCCCTCCTCGCCATCGCGATCCGAGGGAGCAAAGGATCAAGGATTCGTGCACGCTTCTGGCTAGCAGGCTCTGTGACACCTCCAAGGTGAATCCAATCGAGCGATTGATCTCCAATCCATTCTGACCTGCGCTTGTTTTGCTCGCTGTTCCAGATCAATCTCAAGGTGAAGACGACCCCATGGTGGAGAGGGATTGTGGTCGAAGAGGCCAACAAGCTCCAAGCTTCGTGGGTTGTTCTTGAGAGGTGCGTATATTCTGTGACCGTTTGAGCATATTCTGTGAGAAGAATATGCTTGTTTTAAAACCTTGGGATTTTGAAGAACCCTAGCTCTTCCAGGTCTTTGCGAAAGGAGGGCAAATGGTGCGCCCGCGGCTGCCGATCCAACGTTGTCGTGGTCAGCCAGGTCGGTTTCCGGGTGCTGTGCCTGAATCTCAAGAATGCCGCGGCGGCGATCGCTTCCTCGTCGTCGTCCTCGATGCTCGGATTGCCGTCGTCGAAGAAGCGAGTGATATTCTCGACTGGCGATGGCGCGGCTGCCGCGGATTTCGAAGGGAATGAGGAAGAGGCGAGCAGTAGCCCAGAGATCGAGACGCCGTTCAGCGTGACCGAGCGCGGAAGCAGCAGCTCATCGTCGACCTCGAGCTCAGAGCACGATCGTGCTGTCGGATTCTCTTGCACTGGCGGGGCCAAGAAGAAGATCGCTACTGCTGCCGCAACCGATAGCGTGATTTCATCCGACACCAAGAAAAATTGCCTAGGTGAGTCTTCCTTATTTCTTCGTGATTTATAGCGATCAAGAACTTTCCATATGTTTTAGACGAGCGGTTGTTCTCCCAGACGAGATCCATACTCTCCGACGCTGAGAACTACATCAAATGCAGGCCCGGGCTTGACAGCGCCACAACTCCAGACATTTCAGAGCGCTTCTCCGCGTTACAAGTCGAGAGCTATGGGAAGAGTCCCAGGAAGAACGCCAGGCACGTCTCCCAGCGATCGTCCGAGGGCTTGCTTCCAATCGAGGAAGCGGAGGCTCCGTCGGTGTCAAACCAGCACCGCAACCAACAAGCAGACGATCATCGACTACTGGAGAGAACTTCGAGCGTCCGACAGGCGGTCGCTTTACCACTGAAACGCTCGCTAGCCGGTTCGCCGCCTTTGTGTTCTATCTGCCAACATGCCTCTCCAGTCTTCGGCAGGCCTCCTCGTCGATTCAGCTACAGCGAGCTCGAGTTCGCTACCGGGGGATTTTGCAAGGCAAACTTTCTCGCGGAGGGTGGCTATGGCTCGGTCCACAGGGGTGTTCTTGGGGACGGGATTCCCGTGGCTGTGAAGCAGTACAAACTGGCTAGCTCGCAAGGTGACTTGGAGTTTTGCTCCGAGGTGGAAGTCCTGAGCTGCGCGCAGCACCGAAACGTGGTGATGCTGATCGGATACTGCATCGAGAGAAAGCGAAGGTTGCTTGTCTACGAGTTTATCTGCAATGGCTCGCTCGATTCTCATATCTATGGTATGTCCTTTTTTATGTGGTCGCTGTTTCGTGAGCTTGATGTTTTTTGCTTTTGTGGATTGCTTAGGTGTGACCAAGCCCCCGCTGAAATGGTCATCGAGGCACAAGATAGCCGTTGGAGCTGCTCGGGGATTGCGTTACTTGCACGAAGAATGCCGTGTTGGTTGCATCGTCCACAGGGACATGCGTCCAAACAATATTCTTCTGACACACGACTTTGAGCCCATGGTTAGTGCTTTGTCTACGTTTGCGTGTCTGCCGTCGTGCGTTACGTTTATCTGATACGTGAGATTAAACAGGTCGGCGACTTTGGACTCGCGAGGTGGCAGCCAGACGGTGATCTGGGCGTAGAAACGCGAGTAATTGGCACGTTTGGGTACGTAGACCACATTGTTTTAAAAACTCTCCTCGTGTTCATGGGAGCGAGAATGGTGTTGCAGTTACTTGGCCCCAGAGTACGCGCAAACGGGCCACATAACGGAAAAAGCTGATGTATTCTCGTTTGGCGTTGTTCTTTTGGAGCTTGTCACCGGCCGCAAAGCCATTGATATCTCACGACCAAGGGGACAGCAATGTCTCACAGAGTGGGTAAGCTAAGATTGGTTCTAGTTGGCAGCTCTTTAATCTGACTATACAGGCACGTCCATTGCTAGAAGAACAGTCTCATCACGAGCTCATCGATCCGGCGCTAGTGAATGAGCTTAACCAGTACGAGGCTTACTGCACGTTGTTTGCGGCCTCCTTGTGTATCCAACGCGACGCACACTTGAGACCTCGCATGTCACAGGTAAGTCAAGTCTTCTCCGAGGAAAACTGATATTCTCTCGCAAATGCGCAGGTGCTACGAATGCTCGAAGGCGATCTAAATCTCAGCCGAAACTCGTCCCCGATGCGATCACGCCTGACTTACTCCCCGCACTCCTCGTCCAAGAACAGCGTGAGATCGATGAGCCCCGCGAAGAGTAGGCTCTTCCCGGGAGCTCTAGACAGCGTTGTCAACAGCTTCATGTCCGCCCACCCCATCGTCGTTTGCAACACAAAGCTCTCCCACGAAGCTCTCAAGGCCGCGTACAAAGACAAGCTCGACTCGCAGAGGCCATCGCTCGAAGAGTAGAAATCTCTTCGCTCAAATCTCTGCCAACTTCACAGTCACAAAAACAAAGAGAGAAGATGAAGAGAAGAGAAGAAAAACAAAAAATTCTTACTAACAATGTAGCTGCCGTACGTAGCCTTTCCCATGTACAAATGGTCGAGAAAAATCATCACCTAATAGAAGAAGAAACCCTGTGTTGTCCCTCCCTTGTTCCCTCTTTATAAAAATTTCTATCTCCCACCACTACCTGTGACCCTGTCCCGGTATCGTGAAAGAACTAGTGTCGCCATAGTTGGATTCCTCGTGATGCATCCACAAGCCGGCTCTCATCTCCTCCTCACACTTTAAGATCTGCTGTACATACTCGAGCGCCCCCGACACTGCCTGCTGCTCCTGCGCGTTTAGCTGCAGCGTGTAAACTCTCCTCCCATCCAGGAACCTCTTGTACTTGTGAACCACGTACATGTAGGCCTGCTGGACCTGGCTCGAGTGCGACGATCCAACCGGGCTGTAGTCCGAGAACCACTCGCAGGTGGTGAGAGGGATCCCTTTGGTCACCTTCTCCTCAAACCTGTCGTACTTGTTGAGGAGCAGCACCAGCGGGGTGTCTTGGAAGCACGGGTAGCCCACGATCTTGAAGAAGAGGTCCCGGCTGAAGATGAGCTTGTTGTGCAACGCTCCCGTTAAATCTGTCCACTGCTGGTCGTAATCGCTGACGGCTACGCAGTAGACCAAAATCTTTACGTCCTCGAACATGTCGAGCCATTTCCTAAACTCGTTTGTAGCTAAGCCGCCGATGCTAATCAGCTGGTACCTGTGAACCAGAAAAAAAAAAAGAAAAGAAGAAGACCAAGTAAGAATCCAAGAAGTCTCGAGTCTAAGCGTGTGGACCTGCGACGGTTAGATTCGTGGTCGTTGCTATCGGACAAGTCTTTGTCCTCGAGAGAAAATTGTACCTCTGCAAGACCGGTTCCTTGCTCAAGTCCCTCGGCAGATAAGATATCCGTGACCGATGGGACGTAATCCTGTATTTGTAACACCTGAAGCAGCCAAGACACACTTTGTAAGACGAAGGCAAAATGCACAGGGCACTTACTCTATTCAAAATATCGGCAGTCACTTCAGGAAGCTGTAGTTCATCCTTTCGACTGTATGTTTGTTGTATCACAGGGTCGTTCCAAATCTTAGAAAGATTAGAGCGCGTGTTTTTTGAGATGCTCCGTTCCAGATGACCCGCAGCCATGCTCGCCATGAACTTGTCAGCCGCATCCTTGAGCTGGTCATTCAAGGTATAAAGGTCTCCTGCAGAGGAAGTCAGTCAGATATGACGTTATGAAAGACTATGTCTCAAACCTGACTCTTCTTCGAATCTTTCTCGTGCTTCAAGCAGAACATTGAGAAACTGGTATGCCTTTCCCAGTATCATTTCCTTGTACTTTTGCAACTCCTCCGGCGAAAATTGGCCATTGTGAAGAATTTTCGTCTGATATTGCACTAGCGTCAGTAACACTTTTTCCGTAAAAAAGAAGGGAACATACCTGCTTGAAGATGGTACTCCTGCCCGACCCATCGTGCCCCAGTAGAAGAATTTTTGATGCGTCTTTAACTTCAATAGAAGTTGGAGAAACTTTTCTAGAGGCCGCCACTGCATCCGCCTTCACTAGTTGGTTGCTTGACCGTGGAGTTGGGAAAGAAAAAAATGGGTACAAAAGCCTCATCATGGGCTGCAAAGCGCACAAGATAGAGTTAGTGATCTTTAAAGCATAACAAACATTATGTTTCTCACTTTGTTCCACAGGTTACCCTTGATCTCCTTCTGACCTTCGTCTCCATATCTACCATCAGGATACAAAACAAGGTACGTTTGAGGAGTGCATTGAACGCCAAGAGCCTGTTCAGAAAAGATAAAAGTAAATCAACTTCTGGACTTTACAAACTGTACTCACGTACTTTGAGCATTTTAAACTCCGATTTCGTGATCTCCCGACAGTTTAGGAACACTTGCGTCGTTCCATTGCTGGCATTTTGCTGCAGAGGTCCTCCTACTTTCAACTCAGGAGTGATAAACATGTGTGGTTTTTCTCCTTCCTGAAACAACAAATCAGTCCCAAAACATAAAGACGACTTCGAAACACATACCCTGCCCCAGAGTCCCGAGGCCTTGTCATACCAGTATTTCCCGGGCTTCAGTCGCACACATTCTTGTTGTAACAAAATCAGCTCTTCAAAAATCAGCCTCCTTCCGTTCACAATCACTTGCTCTGGCTGCAGCTGGTTTGAAAAGCACTCCCTTTCAGACTTCATGCACTGTTGGATCTCCAAGGGACTCAGCAGCCTCTTCAACAGTCTCGAAGGCTTTCCCAAAAACGGACGGCGATCCTCCAAAACGGGGCGTCCAACACATTCTTCACACTTCCTCCCTTCTGGCATGGATCCCATCACTACCAGCACGCAGTTGGAGCAAAACTTCGAGCCGCAAGCCAAACACACCTCCTTCTCCGTCAGCCTGTTACCTCTCAGACAGCGGTAGCACTGTCCCCGTTTCCTGTGAATGTTTCCGCCTTTCCCAGACGGAGAGGGATCCAATCCATACCGCCGACTATCAAAGTTTCCACTGGGATCTTCCGACTCTCCCGGGGAGAACTCTTCCGAATACTGCAGCGCCGAAGAGTCCGTGACAATGCCCTCCGACGATGGTGTTCTCCCGAAAAGCTGTGGCGAAGGCGACGTAGCCAGCTCCTCAATCTCCGACGGACAGGACTTTCGAGTGGCGGCGGCAGCACTGCTGGCAGCATCCCGCTCGACAGTAGCAGCGGCGACAGCCATCGCCGAGGATGATTCCGAGAACGAGGAGCCCGACGTCGATCGAAAGAACTGGCGAGCAGCGGGGACCGAAGAAGCAGCAACGTTCCCAGAGCCTCTCCACAGCTGAGCCACCGGAAGAATGGTGGCGAGTTTTGGAGGCGTGGTCTTGTTAGTCCCCCAAGAAGGAGCCATGGGAGCCTTTGGGAGTGGAAACTCTACCGGAGGCCCGTTGTAAGGGGTGGCGAACGAATACTCGATGTTGTCCAAGTCTATGGCTGCTCCTGGAGGAAACAAACCTCTGAGAAGATCGTGCTTGGCCGACCCATTGCCATTGGGCAACGCCGAGGAGGCCATGGTGAAGCTCTCCTCCTCCAAAGCCTCGGCCTTTTGGCGCTGGCTAGTCGTAGAAGAATTCTTTCTCGTCATGGAAATCCCCTACACAAACCAAGCAATGATCAAGCACAAGAAGAGAGAGCGAAAGAATGAAGAAAAACAAACGAGGTAGACGAGGAAAAAATTCCACTGACCAAGTCTCTTGCTCCGATCTCGCATTTCGCTCGATTCCAGCGATTCCCGCTAGCTCCGAGACGATCCTCCTCCCGCGCGCTACATTCTCCGCGGATTGCTAAACCCTAAGCCGCCCCGGATTGCTCTGTCTGCCCCGGAGATTCGCGAGGAGCTCACCTTGCTCGCGCAGCTGGGACGACGATCGAGGGAGCTCGCGGGGGGCGATCGACAGACACCAGCTGCGACGACGCGGGCGCTCAAAATCTCCGCGCTAATGTTCTTCGACCTATTCCTACCACACACCGCCGTACACGGAATTCGGCCAGGGGTCCTCCGTACGCACACGTCAGCAGAATGCGTCAGCCAGTTTTGTGTGTGTGTGAGGTATTCCATATTCGCTGGACTGCTCGTGCGCGGTAAGAAAAAAAAATCCATCTCTTCTCTTTTTCGCCAGTTCCAATGACGCAATGTGCTTGATCACGAATTTTTATGATGTCTCTAGTAGAAAAGTCGTGATTTTCACTTGGAGGACTTTTACCGTTGTGACGAATCGTAAAAGCTCTGTTCCAATCCAAGCCGTGAGAAAAGTTCGTGAGAAAAGAAACGATGCTTACCTCCAAGCTCCAAAATCACCAAAAGTCTCCGCAAGAACACACTCCATCCCTGAAAACATGGAATCGACTCGCGTCTCGGCAAACCACGACTCGCTGCTCGATCCGGGAGATGATCGAGGTGGCTCTGTGGCAGTCGTCGCAAGCGCGGAGATTCTTGGCGATGTGTATGCTCGTCCCCGGCTTCGTGTTCACCAAAGCACACCCAATGGCCAGCTTCTCGCTATGGCCGCACAGAGCATTCTCTTTCTCCTCGTCTGCGATGTCAAACAGAGCACCGTCCCAGTCAGGCACGTATCCGGCTTGTTTCAAGCTTACCATCACTTCCTTGAGCTTGGCGAGTATCTGGGAGCTCTGGGGATGGCTCGTGTCCCCGGCGCAAAACCTGTGAACTCTCCCGGATTCATCAATCCACCAGCTTTGTCCCGGCTTCTTGAAAGCCCGAGCTTTGTTCCTCATCGTCCGGATGCTCAAGCTCTCCTCAAACATCCCGGCGGCGGCGTAGATGGTGGCCATCACCGAGTACGCTGCAGCATCCCTCTCGTCAGCTCTTACAATGGAATCGAAAGCAAGCCTACCGGTTTCCACGTTTCTCCATTTCCTGCTCGCCGCCAAGATGGCTCTCCAGATCGTTAAGTTGGGCTGGAAAGGCATGGTTTTGATCATCGCCATCGCCTCGTCGAGATAGTTTCCTCGGGCTAGAGTGTCCACCAGGCAGCTGTAGTGTTCGATCGTCGCAGCAATCCCGTGATCCGAGATCATTGTATCGAAAACCTCCTTGCCTTTCTCGACTAGCCCGGCGTGGCTGCAAGCTGTGAGAATGCAGAGAAACGTGATCCTGTTTGGCTGGAGACGTTCTTCTTGCATCCTCTGGAAGAGATAGATTGCCTGCTTCGCATGTCCATGGTGACTATATCCTGCGATCAGCGAGTTCCATGTTACAAGTCCCCTCGTCGTCAAAGAATCAAATACCTCTTGAGCTTCTTGCATATCCGCGCACTTGCCGTAGAAACTAATCAAAGAGCTCGCCACGGCCTCGTCGTGCTCCAGTCCAGCACTCCGGATGTGCGAGTGGATTGACTTCCCAGTCTGCAAGTCTGCCAAAGATCCGCAGGCTTTGAGCGCAGAAACAAAAGTTTGAGAAACGGGCACGATACCTTCGTCGCGCATTCGAGCGTAGAAACGCAAAGCCACCTCCGCTTCACCGGACTGGGAGTAGCCCCGGATCATGGCGTTCCACAGCAGAAGATCGCGAGGCCGCGTCCTCTCAAAAACCTCTCGTGCCTCGGCCATGCTTCCACACTTGGAGTACATATCCACGAGAGTGCTCGCGACCAAGCTGTGTGCTTCGTGTCCCTGCTTCACGAGCTGGAAGTGCAAACCCGCGGCTTTCTCCAAGCACACCTTCCTGTCGAGTTGGTCTCTCGAGAGATCTTCCCTGGTGGCGATGCTTATACAGGCCTCGAGAGCACCGACGTAAGTTAGAGCGTTTGGCACGCATCCTTCCTCTTGCATGCGTGAGAAGAGCTCGAGAGCCAAGTCTCCCTCTCCACTTTGAGCGTGTCCCATGATCAAAGCAGTCCAGGAGACAACGTCGTGGCGAGGCATCCGGTCGAAGATCCAGCGCGCCTCTATCATGCTCCCACACTTGACATACATATCCACGAGAGCGCTCTCGAGATATATATCCCAAGTCTCTCCAGCGTTCTTGAGCTGGGAGTGTACCGCATTTCCTTTCTCCAACGCCGAGACCTTGACAAGCTTCCCCTCGATCTTAGTCCCATCTTCTCGAATCGCCAGTGCCGTGCAAGCAGCAAGCGCGGCGGTGAAAGTTCTCACGTTTGGAACGAAGCCTCTGTCTTGCATGTGGGAGAAGAGCTCGAGAGCCGTCTCGCCATCGCCACTGTCAACGTATCCCAGGATCAAAGAGTTCCACAAAACCACGTCGTGATGGACCATGGCATCAAACACCACCTTTGCGTTCTCCATGTCCCCACACTTGGAGTACATATCCACAAGGCTGCTCGCGACGAAGAGGTTTGATCCAAGACCGGTGCTCGCAACCTGGGAGTGAAGAGCCTTTCCCCGATCTAAGCAATCCATAGCTCCTTCCACCGCGAGAGCGGCACAAGCCTTCAAGGCCGCGACGTAAGTAGCGGCATTTGGCTTGAATCCCCGGCACTTCATCGCGGAGAAGAGATCCAGTGCGACCTCTCCCTGGCCGCGCTGTGCATACCCTTTGATGATCGCGTTCCACGACACGACGCTGTGCTGCCGGATGCTGTCAAAGGCGCGCCTCGCCTCGACCATGCTCCCGCATTTGGCGTACATGTCGACGATGGTATTGGCGACGAAGATATTGGCCCCATCCCCGATGTGGCCGTGGATCCTCGCCCCGGCCTGCAAATCCCGCAGGCTGATGCACGCCTTGAGCGCCGCGAGCTGTGCCGCAACGCTGGGCGCCACCGATTCCTCCCGCATTCGATCGAACGCCCTGATCGCCTCCCTGGCCTCCTTGGCGCCCACCGCTCGCATTTTCCATAAGAACCCTAAAACTAAAAACCGAGCTGGACCATCGGTCAAACTCGAAGAATTAAGTATGAGATCGCCTATGCATCCAGCACACTGCGAGATAGAGAATATCTGAGAAATCGAATCGATCAAGGATAGGAGATGCCCGAAGTCTTGAGGCACACATCCAAACCAACCAAGAAATTGCCAGAGTGAGATTCAAATTCCAGGACTCTATGGTTTTGACGAGGAGGAAGTGGGATTGCTATAAAATCTTGACCACTTTAAATTATAGGTTTGTTTTGGCCGGATAAAGAAAGGGCTGACCTTGACTTGACTTGGACTTCGTTGACTCGACATGGACTCCAGCGTGTCCAACCTTTAAAAACACAACTCTTCTGTTGCAATAGGTGCTCATGGACGAGGACGGTCCATGCTTACACTTACTTAAGTGAATACGCTTACTTAAGTCCATGCTTTCGATCACCCCCAGTAGAGTATCATGGGCCTCCTTCAAGTCATCCATCCCATCCAATCTAGCCAATGTAGAATATTTATTAAAGAAAGCCATGGAGAGCAATCGCCCGAGCACCAGCAACCGTCCTCCTGCTCCTTGGTTCCAATTTCTCTAGCTTCCATCGTCAGGACTTGAAAGTCCTCGAAGCCGACTTGGTGGATTAACTTTTGGACCTGAGCCTGGGAACCCCTTCCCCAGCCCCTGAATCTCACTGCATCCCAGTTCTCGACGCCACGGCTTTGTTCGATCCGGTCTCATCCACTTCCTATGTTTCATGATCGGGATCCTCTTGCCACTACACCATCTTGTACGGCCGTGACTTCCCTTCCGCTGGTTACTTGGCCAAAGATTTCGTTTCCAAGGATAACTCAACGGTGAAATTTGGATGCGGTCGAGACAGCACCGGCCTGCTTGGGCGCCTTGAGAGCTCGGGCATCTCTTGAGTCGGTAGGAGGGCAACTGCGGAGCTCAGGGTACATGGGCAAGTTTTGGACTCTAGGCATGGTTTACACCCTGATGATCAAAAACCTCTTTACTACATGAGTATAGCATCCAGACAAAAGCTTAAACTAGTGTTAAAGCTGATGACACTCTCACCAGCATATCAGTGTGACAACATTCTTAACCTACTTCATTCCCCATCTCTCATCCGAATGATCGGACATTATACACAAAGTTGCAGACGTTCTTGGCACGGAACTTTGCTAATCACCAGAAACTCTGACGTACAGTTTCCAGGGTGTTCAGGTCGTTGTGTTAACAAGGATTGGATTTGGAACGGGATGTGATGTGTAGCAAGCCTTCTGGCTTGTGCTACTATTTAGTATTGTTTGTAGTTTAATCTATTAAAGGTATAGCAATTGTTTGAAACGATGTCCTTAAATTGTTATGCACCAGTTGGATCGACGTATTCCAAGAGATCAAAAAGTTCCACAAAACCACGTCGCAATGGACGGCATCAAACACAACCTTGGCGTTCTCCAGGCTGCTCGCGACGAAGAGGTTTGATCCATGACCGCTGCTCGCAACCTGGGAGTGAAGAGCCTTTCCCCGATCTAAGCATTCCATCTTCGAGAGAGCTCCTTCCACGGCGAGAGCGGCACAAGCCTTCAAGGCCGCGACGTAAGTAGCGGCATTTGGCTTCAATCCGGCGTTTTTCGCGGAGAAGAGATCCAGTGCGGCCTCTCCCTGGCCGCGCTGCGCATACCCTTTCCACGACAGGACGCAGTCAAGGGCGCGCCTCGCCTCCACCATGCTCCCGCATTTGGCGACGATGGCATTGGCCCCATCCCCGATCCTTGCCCCGGCCTGCAACTTCCGCAGGCTGATGCACGCCTTGAGCTGTGCCGCGACGCTGGGCGTTACCGATTCCTCCCGAATTCGATCGAACGCCCTGATTCGCCTCCAAGAAAAACAATATGCTTCTTTCATCCTTAGGAAATTTCTGGAAGCCGCCACGGTAGCCTGGTGGAGGCGCTCACCGAGTATCTCCACCAGTCGCGGCAGCCTCGTCTTACAAATTACCAAAGAGTTCCATTTGGAAGCGCCGCCTCCGAAGGGAAACACCCGAGCAACACTTTGTCCGGTGGGCTGCTGGAGGCGTGGGAAATCTAGTCGAGCTCTTCGCCTTCTTCTTTTTTTCTTTGCGGCAAGGAGGAGAAAGAAAGCAGAGAAGCAAGAAAGTCAGCTCCACACACAGCCAGAAGCACATGAAAACAACCGAGCAAGAAGATTTAATCACTCACCATGGGCGCCATCCAGATCCAGCTCCATCTACGTCACAGCCAAAGCAACTCGTTAGAAGTAAGAAGAGCGTGCACACACAAGCAATCCTCCCGAGCCCAACCGCCAGAGGCCTGCTCTTTGAATGGTTTGTGTCTGGCCAATCTTTGAAAGAGTTTTGGAAAGGTTAGCGTTTTCCTCCTCTGTCAATCAATCAATCAATCCAATCCAGCGAAGAATCAAGGCGCTGGCCGGCAGCGAAAAAAAGAACAGAAAAACTCATGACTATGTAAAGCTACAACATAATCAAACTTTAGTTTGGCATCTTC